TGCGATGCTGTAGCTGTCTGCAGCGTCGGATCTCAGGGAAGAGCGGCCCTTTGCCGCAGTGACCGTTGGTGCGGGCCCACAGGGGCCCGCCGATGGCCGAGCAGCGGCGGCTTCCGCGCTCGGGTTTGACCCCCCCGCGCTCCGCCGCCCGCCCCCCTCCCCCCTCGAAAGTCGCGCACCACGGGTCCCCTTTTCCCAGGGTCACTCTTGCGCGCAGTCGACTCCAGATCTGCTGGGCTGGGCTCCGGGGAAGGGGCTTCGGGAGGGGCAGCGCTCTTGCACACTGCTAGTGGCCCTCTTTGGGCAGTTCGCGGGCTCCGGGTTTCTCGGCCCCTTCTCTGGGAGGGGGGGGGGGGCAGTTTCTCGTTCCGGCTCGGGTTCTTGTGGTCCTGGGGCTCGAAAGCGTTCCCCCCTCAAGAGGAGGCTGGAACAGCCAGAGGAAAAGCGCCAGAACTATGCAGAGCCAGTCCGCCAGATGCCTGGGCGCAGGCGTGCTGCTTAGTTTGTGATTTCTTCCTCTTCTTCTTCTGCTTCTCCTGCTTCTCCTCCTCCTCCTTCTCAGACCGTGGTGCCTTTTGCGTTTGCTACTTCCTCTCCGTAGTGCCAGCTTGCGAATCACAAATGATGGGCCCCCCAGGGCTGATAAATGGACCCCGCGGGGCGCGACACATTTTTTTCATCACGCGCGCTAGGGCTCGAATAGCTCGGAGAACCACCGCGCCGCGGATGATGGCAAACGGCATGAACAACGAGGAGGAGGAGGAGGAGGAGGAGGAGGAGGAGGAGGAGGAGGAGGAGGAGGAGGAGGAGGAGTAGGAGGATGACAAGTGTAAGCCCAAGGGTCATCAACGATGCTGTAATTAACCCTCCCTCCAAACTCCCTCTTCGTAGGCCCCTACAACTGTTCATTTCCATTGAGGGATCTGCCTCGTTGGAAGACAACCGTTTGAAGATCCTGAAGCATGCCACCACATAGTTCTCGGGATTTCAACGCCACGGATCAACCCGACTGCTGCGTCTTGACGATCTGGAATCGTGCCAGAACGCCCTTTTTGGGATTTCAACACCGCGAAGCAACATAACTGTTGCACCCGCGTAATCCTTACTCTGTCCAAACACCATGTGAACCCGTGAAACTCTTGCAACTGTTTAAAACGAATGCGCGCGGCGCTAAGGCAAGAACCACATTTTGAAAAGGAGCCGCCCTCAATCCTTTGAAACCCTTGCGATTTCTTAAACGAATGTGCGCGGCGCTTAGGCGAGAGCCACATTTTGAAAAGGAGTCGCCCTCAATACATGAAGCTTTCGCATGTTTTAGACGAATGTGCGCGACGCTAAGGCGAGAGCCACGTTTTGAAAACCACCCGCCCTCAATCCTTGAATCCTTCGCAACTTGTTAAACGAATTTGCGCGGCGCTAGGCGAAAACCGCACTCTGAAAACCACCCGCCCTCCATCTGTCAAAATGTTGTCATTTTTAGCTTCAGAATCATACATGGTGAGGAAGTCTCAGGCGAAACGCTGCCCGCCCTAAAGACTGGCTTCGGGGTGCGACAGGGAGTGTTATGTATAAGGAAAGTGAAAGGAGGAGGAGGAGGAGGAGGAGGAGGAGGAGGAGGAGGAGGAGGAGGAGGAGGAGGAGGAGGAGAGGAGGAGGAGAGGAGAGGAGGAGGAGGAGGAGGAGGAGGAGGAGGAGGAGGAGGAAGAGGAGGAGGAGGAGGAGGCGGAGGCGGAGGCGGAGGCGGAGGGAGGAAGAGGAGGAGGAGGAGCAGGAGGAGGCGGAGGAACAGGAGGTGGAGGCTGATGATGATGACGAGGAGGAGGAGGCGCCGGAGGAGGAGGATCGTGCGGAGGAGGAGGAGGAGGAAGAGGAGGAGGAGGGGGGGGACGAGGAGAAGGAGGAAGAGGAAGGTGAGGAGGAGGAGGGAATGTGTGGAGAAGAACACCGACAGCAGTTTTGCATCCTGTGGGTGTCGCCGCGGACGTCAACAGTTCGATGCAATGAGTCCCCTACCCAGCAGTGGCCGCTGTCGGTGTCGGACAAGATTCGCTTGTGGACGTCATGCACATTTTTTCCACGCCCTTTGCGGGCGCGCGCCGAGCTTCGCTCGGCGCCTGGCTGGCTCGCCTTTTGGCACTCGCTGCGGGGCGCCGCGGGTGACGCGCGTCCTGCGGGAAGTGGGCCTTGGCAGTTTTTTCCTGCTTTCGGGTGGCCCTCGGCGGGCCCTGGGGCAGCCGAACAAAAAATATCAAGCTGGTCCTAGCGGGAACTCCAGGGTTCTGGGCCCGCTTCCTTCAGGGCCCGTTTCCATCGCGGCGACGGGAGTTTCCTTCGATTGCGAAACAAGGAAACGACGCGGTGGTGGCGGCGACGACGGCCCGTGCCTCTGCCGCCGTTGCTTCCCGCCGCCCCCAATCACCCAGTCCGTGCTGCTCCTGTCGCCTTTTCGCTGGCGGCCTGGCGTCGGCGTTAATCACCAGCGCCGCCGGTTTGTGTTTCAATTATGCGGGCGCCACTCGCCTGAGCAGGGGAACCTTTTTCTCTGTCGCACGAGCCCCATTGATTTGTTAACCACAAGCTGACATTGCAGTTCGGAGAAACGTATGGCGGCGCTCCGAGAGCGAATCCGCCGCCGCGAGGCCCAGGCAGAGGAAACGTGATGTCTGTTTGTGGGGGTGGTGTCCTGCCACGGTCACGGAGCTGCCCGTTATCCTTCTCCCGTGGCGACAAAGGCCCACAGCTGCCCCGCCCCTGTTTGGTATGATTTGCCAGTCTCTTTCCCTAAGGGCTGTTCTTCGCCCCGCGGGCGGGGGGGTGGCACCCATGTAAACGGAAAACCGACTCGGTTGAGCTGGCCCGAAAGCGCGTCGCGGCGCGCCCACAGCTGAAGTGTACAGAACAGCGGAAAAACCCACCCTGCATGTTTGGTTGGCAGCACATTGTTGGGCGGTGCTGCAGCCTTCGCTGAGCACAGCCCCCCCCGGATCATCACCCAGACAAACAGGTTTTTACCTTCGCATGGAGTGCTGGATTCCGGACGCGTTTCGGCATTGCCACTGCCGCCGCCACCCCTTCGTCAGGGCCGCCGATTTGGGCGACGGCGGCAGCGACAGTGGTGGTGGCCGACGCGTCCGAACTTGGCGGGGTGACCAGCCATATTGCGAAAAGCTCGATATCTTCTGAATCGGGCGGGGGAACAACAACAATATTAGGGAGGGGGAACGAAACCGACGGGGAAAACATGACAAGACACGACAAACGTGAACGGGGGGCATCCATGTGAGTCCCCCGTGAAAGCGGCGACGGCCTGCGCCCGCGGTCGCCTCCTGGTCGCGATCGAGCCTTTGGCACGCGAGCCGCCGCACATTCGCCGAGATCCCCAGATCTCCGAATATTTTTTTGTTTCAGACAATCTGGGCGTATTGGCCACATGAAGCGTTCCAAATAATGCTTTGGTTTCGAGGATCGACGAAGTTGTCATCCCTTCCGCCGCGGAAGGCGGCGGAAGGACTGCAAAAGTAAAACGAGGCCGCCCCTGCCAGGGGAAGCTGGCGGAAGGGCGGCGGCAGGTGGCGGACAACAACTGCGCCCCCAAGCGATGAACACATTTTTGGGTTCAGGGTTCCCGGGGTCCGCCAGATGTTGGTTTCGGGGGCCAGGTGTCGGGCCCTGGGACCATCATGCACGGATCCAGGGCGGAAGGCTGGGGCCTGAGGAGGGGGTCGGGAACTCTTTGGGGCCGCGCATGACAACAGAAACGGCATATCGCAGTGCAGCGCCGCGGAAAATCACGACCAGAACCCTGGGCCCCATCTTCCTGTGGCGTCTTTCCTGAGCTTGGTCGACCTCCGAGGGCCCTGGGCGAAGACGCATGGTAGCACAGGCGACGACATGGGGGATCACCTAATGGGGGTGAACGCCAACGGGCTCAGCCGATGCCCTCTGGCTGATTCGGGCTTCGGTCCCAAATGTCGGCGGCGATCCAGGGGGGGAAGTGAACAGGGGCGGGCTTTGTCTCGAAGCCTCCCCCGACAGCGTAGAAAACCTCTCAGCCCCGCCGCCTTCTGAGAACGCCTTCTCCTTCTCAAATCCCCCCCCCCGCTCGCCGCCGAACATGGGGCCAATTCCCCGTTTCCGTCCTCGGATGGCCCGGGTTTCGCGACGGGGCCCTGGCCGACCCGGGTCTGTGCCAACCAGGGTTGCAGTGCGTCCCCGCCGACAGGATTTCGTGGCTTTGTCCATGGCTGTCGGGCGCCGCTCCGGCTCGAAGGCTTCTGCGGCCTCGCCGGGGCCCAGCCCCGCCAGCGCGAGGCTTCGGGGCGGCCGCTTGGGCGGCGGCGGCGACCACGCGCGCCGATGCCCGGGCAGCCGCGCCGCCGGCGCCGCTGGTCGGGGAGACCTCTCCGGCAGCGCACCGCCGCAGGGCCCGTGCGGTAGGTTCGCGTCGTGTCGGCGCGACGGCGACCCCAGCGCGGGCGTCCGAGGCTGAACGCCGCCAGTGGCCTGCAATCGGCCGATGTGGAAGGATCCGCGCTGTCGGAAAGTCGCGGTCGCCCAGGTTGAAAAGCGATGCGTGCGGTGTCAGGGGGAAGCACCGCACATGCCACCACGATGCGAGCCTGCCGTACCCACCCCCTGGCGTCGTGAAGAAACAGCGGCGGGGATGCTTTTGCAATTTTCGGCTTCTGGGGGCCTATCTGTGCTGGCCCCCCAGGCCGTCAAAAAACCATTCAGGATGAAAAGCCAGTCCTAGCCGGACTTCTGGGGGGCCCGCTTTGGAAACGAGACATGACGTCAGGGTCGGGGACGGTATTCCATTTCCAACGCCTCGGTGTCGTGCCCTAGGATCTCGAGGACCTCTCAAGGAGTGGTAGATGTGGATGCTTGCCCGCCGCTGCGGGCTGGAGGATATTCACATCCACCTCTCCCCAGGAATCTTGGGCATGACTCCAGCGGCTATGGATTTGGATATTATGTGGTGGCGCAGGTAGCCGCTGGGTATGCGAGGCTTTCCAGGCTTATGGGACGATGATTGTCATAAAGTCCACGGCCCAAAATTCTGGGCCCTTGGAGGTCTGTCGTCGGGCGTAGGTTTGATTCTCGTGAGTCTCGATTCGCTCAGCTCGATTCGCCCGGCTCGATTTGCCCTTGCTCGATTCGCCGGGCTCGACTCGCCTGGCTCGACTCACCTGGCTCGATTCGCCCGGGCTCGGTTCGCCCGGCTCGATTCACCTGGCTGCATTCGTCCGGGCTCGCTTCGCCCGGCTCGACTGGCCCGGCTCGATTCGCCCGGCTCCGTCCCTCGACGAGGCGGTGGCCTCACGTCTGGCCGGACCCGCCCGTCGGGGCCCGCCCGCCCGACGCGGCCCGCCCGTGAGGCTTCGCCCGTCGGGGCCCGCCCGCCCGACCCGACCCGCCCGTGAGGCCTCCGAGGTGGGGTCCGAGTGGGTGTGGTCGGAGGGCCGCGCCGCATCGCCGATGCATCGCTGACGCATCGCCGATGCGACTCGATGTGGACTCCGATTTTCTCCGCGCCGGCGGCGCCGATGCATCGCCGATGCGTCGCCGATGCGTCGCCGATGCATCGGCGATGCCTTGGCGACGCGGCGCGACCTCCGACCCCATTTACTTGGACCCCATCTAGGAGGCCTCCAATGACGCATTTTACTTCAATGCCACGCCCGCCCGACCCGACACGCCTGTTAGGGGCCGCGCGCCCAGCGAAGCGAGCTCCGGCGAAACGAGCCCCAGCGAAACGAGCCCCAGCGAAACGAGCCCCGGCGAAACGAGCCTTGGAGTCGGACGCACCGAGCCCCGGCGAACCGAGTCCCGGCCAGCCGAGCCACGGCAGACGGAGCCCGGGCGAAACGAGACTCCGGCGAACCGGGTACGTGCCGTCGGGCCCTGGGGCCATCAGTCGGGTGTTGCTAGAAGTGCCCCTGGCCCAAGGTGCCCCCAGCTTTTCGCTCCATTTTGGAGCCCCTGGGGCCCTCTGGCCCTCGCGAGGGGTGCCCTTGAGGCCGTCTGGGCCACCCCGAGGATCCTGGGGGCACCTTGGGCCAGGGGTACTTCTAGCAACACCCGAATCAGAGAACTGTTCAGGAGTGAGGAGCCAGGCCAGAGGCATGGGGCAGAGAGGGATGGAGGCCCGCGCCTTGACAAGAATCCAATCCATCGAGCAGTGGCGAAGCTTCCTGACTTGCCTTGATAGGCCCACCAAAGTAATTCTGGTCTAAGACCCTTGTGTGGTCTGCACGAAATATTCTTAGAACAGTTCTGGCTGCGACTGTCTTGTTTTAACGCGTCGGTTTTGTGTTCTAAGAACTTTGTCCTTGCGATTCGAACATTTCTGGGTTCTAAGAACATTTCGTGGTAGACCTACAGGAATGCCGGGACGGTCGGTCCCTGCTCAAATCCAAGCAGCCAGATGCCTGATCGGGGCTCGAGGATCGAGGCTTTTGGATGCTTTGTGTTTGCTGTTTTGGGCCTCCAGATGCTCCCGTGGACCCCAGACGCCTTCGTGGGGACCTGGCCTCCCAGATCCGATCCCAGAACAAGGGCGCGTTTGTCCGTTGTTGTTTACCAGTAGCGGCGTCTGTCCTAGATTTCCGCTCCGGTGGCCGTTTCCGGGGCCCGGGGGCGTCAAGAAAACGACCTGGGGATGAGCGGCCGTTCGTGCTGGTGTGGTCGGCAGCCTTGGGGGCTTCGGGTTAAAATAGCAAAATCACGGCGCTGGAGGCTTGTGCCCGGGACGAGGGGGAGAGTCTCCGCCACGGGTGGGCCACGGGCTCCCTCGGAGGGCGAAAACTTGCACCCGTGATTTTTCACGACGCGAGCATGCTTGGGTTCTGGCCTGGCCAGAAGCTGGCGCAAACAAGTGCCATGGGCCCCAGAGCGGGCCTGTCATGTTCGATTCCTTCCTGAGGTGCGTTTACAAAGCGGCTTTGCTTGTCGGTGTGCTTTTTAAGGGCGGTGGTTTTCTGTTTTTTCTATCCCGCGGGAAATCCTGGAGTAATGGCTGGACCTTTGGGCCGTTTGTGGGAAGATCGCCGCCCTACCACAGAAAAGACAATCTTAACTCACGCCGAGCTTTCTCGCCCAGGGACGGCCTGGGGTCGGGGACGCTTTCATCGCCGTCACTCGGTGTGATTCGCCGCTTCGGAGGTCTGCCCCGCAGACTCCTGCAGAGCCCCCCCCCCCCCGAAGGCCCTGCCCCCGGGAGGCGCTGGGCACTGGGGCTGCTCGCCGCCGCCAGCGCCCTCGGCCTGGGGCGTGCGGCCGGCGCCCCGCGCGGCGGCTCTTTGAGCCTGCAGGCGAGGCTGAACCGCACCTACGCCACGCTGCCGCGCGGCAGCCGAAGAGGAAACAGCTACTCCAGATTTCGTAATAAAAGGGAGGGGGTCTGGACCCTCCAAGACAAGCCATTTCAGACCTCCCCCGTGGGAGAATCCTCCAAAACATCGTCCCCAGACCCCCAGGCCCTCCAAGATAGCCTGGAAGAGACCCCCCCCCGAAATGAGACCCCCCTCCCTTTATTACGAAATCAGGAATACGGTGGGGGCGTTCGTTGAGGGCTGTGCCCAAGATGCTTCAGACTCAGCCGCGCGCAGAGGGGGGGAACGGGGGAGGGGGGGGGGGAAGGCTTCTTAGAAGCACCCTGCTGCTTAGAAGGCGCGGGCCCTGTCTGTAGATGTAAGGCCAGCGCCTTCTGAGAAGCAGCCTCCTTCTGAGAAGCCTCCTATCCCCCTACTCCCTTGTGCCCGCCGCCAACAGACCCTGAGACAGCTGCGTGTTCATAGAGTTTGAAGTCGACTTCCAAAAAACACGCAGTTCTTTCATGCCGAGTCAAGCGCGCTCGCTACGGAGGGGTCGTTCGTGAAGGAATATGCCCAGGAGTCTTCAGACCCTAGAGGATGCCTTATCTGATGAGGACGGCGGTGATTTTCATGGCCGAAGCTCAACCCTGGATTCCATATCGAAGGGTTCCTTATCCAATGCCCCCATCGTACATGAGCATCACTTTTGGTGGATGTCCGCGCGGCTTTCTTGGATCGTCGCTGCCCCCCCCCCCCCCCCCTGCGGCGCCTCTGGCGCCGCCCCTGGCGCGTCCCCGCGTCAGGGAGGCGGGTCCAGCACAGATGCCGCGCGGACTTCCGAAAGTCTATACTTTTGCAGTTGCCTCTCCTTCCAGGCAGGGGGGGCCTGCCTGGAGCGAGTGCCGTGCGCTACCTGGCGCGCCGCTACCTCCGGGCGGAGCACGGCTGGGTGGCGAAGGGCCTCGACCTGGAGCCGCTGGCTGCGGGGGTCAACGCCAGCGCGCTGGCCGCGAGGCGGGCCTCTGCTGTGCTGCGGGTTCCCAGGGGGCTGCCGGTGGAGGGGAAGGACGCTCTGCGCGCCGTGCTGGAGGAGGAGCCCGAGCGGGGCTTCTCCCTGGAGGAGGCGGCGGGCTTCGTTGGGGCCCTGGAGCACGCGCTGGTGGACTCCTGCGTCACCACGCTGCGGCGCGCGATGAGGGTGGCGGCGGACATTCGGGGCAAGGGCGGCGAGTCGCTGCAGAGCGTGCTATATGTCTACGGGGTGCTGACGAGGGGCGGCAGGGAGCTGGAGTCGAAGCTCGCGCGCCTCCAAGACAAAGAGGAAGTGCGGGCGCGACTTGCTCGAAGTGTCCGGTCCTTTGACAAGGAGTTTGAGGAGATGCTGGAGACCACGGTGTTCAAGGTGTCGAAGTATCTCACTGGCAAGCCAGGCACAATCTTCGAGAAGGCGCTGAAAGGCGCCCGGATGCTGCAAATGCAGTTTGCCCACTTCGTGGCCAAGCAGTGCGGCGTGTTTCGGTCCACGCTGTCGAAGCAGGACACGCTGGGGAGCGGCCAGTTGCGCTTGGCCGGCGCCTGGGGGACGTCTGTGCACAGGTGGGCGCTGGTGGAGACGCCCGAGTTCTTGAGCAGCCTGGGCGTCCTCGTAAAGAAGGGGGTGTACGGCGGAGGCCCTGGGCTCCTCATCCCGAACTACATCTCCTCCATGAGCGGCTGCACGGAGCCCGCGCACCGCCACTTCGTCTACTGCTGCCCCGACGAGTGCGAGGAGGAGGTCATCCCCAGGATCGAAGTCCGCGCCGACGGCCCCCGCGTTGCAGCGGAGAGCGTGTGGGCGGCGGTCCGGCCGCTGCTGAAGAGCCCGCCGCGCACGCGGGCTGCCAGGGAGGCCCTCCGCTCCGAGCTGGGCGCCCTCGGTCGGGGGCCCAACGACACGACCGTTGCCGTGCACGGGCGGCCCCTGGCGCGCTGGCTGCACAGAGCCTTCCCGGACAAGTGCAGGATGCCCGTGGCAGGGCCGCCGCTCGTGGTGGACCCTGCGCTGCTGCCCAACACCGCGGAGGCGGCGGGCGTGTGGGTGGCTGTCAGCTCCGACGAGGTGCTGGGGATCAAGAACCACCTGAACACGCGGTGGGGCGCTGACAGGATGGGCAGCGAGCCTGCCTCCTTCGCCTGGCGGAGCCGCTGGACCCTGCACGAGGAGTTCGTGCTGATCAGCAGGCTCCTGAAGGAGAGGAGGGACCTGAGGGGCCCAGATCACGACAACGACGACGAGGACCTGCGGGACCTGCAGGTGGCCGAGGCGCTCGAGGACGCCCTGAACATGCGAATCCTGGCCGCCACCGCCGAGACTGGCTCCGTGGGGAGCAACCCAGCGTACCATCTGCTCGCCGCAGCCGCGGCAGTGGGCGGCTCCCCGGTGTTCGCTTTCGGTCTACACGCCGTGCTGCGTGTCGTGGGTGTCGCCGCGAGTGTCGTCATGCTGCCCGTGGTTGCAGGGCTCGTCAGCACACTGTCGCCAGTGCTGTCGGCCTTGGCGGCCATGTGGGCGGCGTTGCGACGGGTAGGCTCCGCGCTCGTGGGCATCCTGTGCCGACGCACCGCCGCAAAGGCCGATCCGAAGCTGCGCCAAGCGAGGCCAGGACCCTTCGCCAAGGCGCGGGAGGCCGCGCAGCATAGGCCCCAGCCCCAGGAGCCGACACCGCCGCAGGCGGCGACGCACCCAGAGCGGCAGGCGATAAAGCCCTCGCAGGCGCCCACGGCACCGCCACTGCCGCCAGAGTCGAGCGAGCTGCAGAGGAGCCGCCCGGACGACTGGGCCTCGCCGCCCGCTCCGGAGGCCGCCGTGGTGGCGCCCCCAGAGCCCCATCCGGAGCCCGCCGCCACCGATCCGGTGCCGCAGGCCCTGGAGCCGCCAGCCCCAGCGGCCGCGGGGACGAGGGGCACGGCGATCCTGAAGTCGGCATCAAGCTGGGCCGACATGCACGACAACGACGATGAGCCCCCGTGCCCGTCGATCTGGGCGGCGGCCGATCTGGCGGGCCCGCCCGAGCGGCCCCGGGGCCTGCAGCTGGTGAGCGCGCTCGTGGGAGGAAAGTCGTCCACCCCAAGAGCGCCGCAGCCGGCGGCGAAGCTAGCGCCCTCGGCGGCGCCGGCCCGCGCGCAGCCGACAGCCGCGCCGCCCGCGGGCGCATGCGCGCACGGCGTACCGCCCACGGCGCCACCAAGCCAGCCGCCCACCAGGGGCCTCGCCCTCGTGAAGGGCCTCTTGGGGAGCAGGCCTCAGCATGCCCCCGAGCCGCCAGGCGGGCTGGCGCCTGCTGCGGCCCAGGCTGCGCCGGCCACGGCCCCTCCAAGGAGCACGCCGTCGCTGCGGGTGCCCCCCGCACCTGCTGCCACGGGCGCGAGGCGGTGGCAGGAGCCCCGGGTGGCCGCGGGCGGCGCCGAAGCCCCAGCTCCAGCGGCGGTGCACGGCGTACCCGCGTACAGAGGGTCTGTCGGCGGCCGCGCGCTGCCAGTCGCGCCCTCGGGCCCCGCTCCAGCGGCGCTGGCCCGGGGACGCACGGAGGCCCACGGCAACGGTGGGGCCGACCGAGGAGCAGGCCACGGTGCTGGAGGCAAGGAGGGCGGACGGGGCAGCACCGCGCCGAGGGAGGCAGCCGCCACGGCCGGGGAGGCGAGGGCCTCTGGCGGCGACCCCCCGGAGGACGAGGACAAGCACCCATCTCGCCCCCTGGACGCCTGGTTTCGACGGCGCGTGTTCGAGCTGAGAGTCATGGTGAGCATGGGCACCACGGACCTGCTGGGGGTGCTGGAGGCGCTGACGGACGAGCAGCTGGCGCCGCCGTATGCCGAGGCCAAGATGTGGCTGGGGCTGGACGAGGGGGAGCCGCTGCCGGAGGCGCTGGAGGGGCTGGTGTCCGAGTTCCTGGCGCGTCGTCGGGAGCTGCGGGGAGTCGGCGCGGAGAGCGTCTGCGCGCCTGGCCGCGCCAGCGCCGGCTCTGAGGGGAGCCCAGGCAAAAGCGGTGAGCACCCGCAGCGGAAGCCGAAGGGCGGCTCGGCGTGCCGCTGGGTTCCCAAGCAGAGCCAGGCCTGAGGCAGGGCCACGCGAAGCAGGGCGAGGGGCCCACGTGGCCGCGTGATGGACTACGCCGCGCTTCGTGTGAACACGGTCGGAATGGGCTCGTGTTCCCCTCCTGCTGCTGCTGCTGTTGCTGTTGCTGCTGTTGCTGCTTGGTCGAGCGAGGATGTTATATCACCGCAGCGAGGGCGATGATCTCAGGCGGTTGCTCTCTGGAAGCAACTATGGCAGGTTACACCACCCCTGCTGCCTGGGGAAAGTATGGCTGCGACTCGCCGTCGTCGTCGTCACCGAACATCACATGAGTCCGACGAGATTTACAGCACAAAATATTCCAATGGCCCAGGGGCAACTATACAGGCCTAGTGTGGGGTCCTTCCGAGGGCTACCATGAGGGTAAGAGTGGATCGAAAACAAGCTATGAAACTCAACGCTGTGTTCTGCAACGCACTGTATATGGTAGGAAACAGATGCAATGAGAGAGAGAGAGAGAGAGAGGAAAACCAGGAGACGAAGGGTGGTAAATCTCAGACATCATTACTGCTGCTGCTGCTGCTGCTGCTGCTGCTGCTGCGCCCACCCACCAGAGAAAGGCAGCAGCAATGCATGCGATTTAGCAACTGACCGAGAAAACGCGAGACGAGATCACTTAGCCTCCCCCGCAGAACTGTCAGTGCCTCCAGGGCCCATTCACGACGTCTGCGGAGATGGCGCGCGGGGCCCAGCACACGCGGACCATCACGGAGGTGGTACCCTTAATCATGAAGAGTGTTCTGTCCAGCATTTTCACTTCTCATCTTCTGGCATCGTCAGGTAGTTCAGCGGAAGCTCAGCTTTCGCCGCCTTGCCCATGCTTGAGGTCGTGGTGAGGCCATTCTCTTTCCAGGGCTTGTTCCAGTCGGAGGTCTTGGTTTTCGTGAGGCTGCCGATGGGTTTGCAGAGCTCCTTTGGGCTCCTTCAGGTGCGTGCTGATGTCTTCTGAGGGGCCATCACCTGCAGCATGTCTTTCATCGCCTTCTGATGGGCAACTTTGAGGTCCTTGGGTGAGGGCTTCAGGGGGGTCTCGAGCTTCTTCGTGCCTTTGCCCACCAGCGTCGACGGCGAGTCGGCGGGCTCGCGCTTGGCAGCAGCGATGTCGAGCATGGTCTGCTGCATCTCGGTAATCTGCTTCTTCACGTCGCACATGTCGGACCTCGACGAGAATTAGGCTGCGGCTCTGGCTTATTTCTATTTTCTTCCCTTTTTCATCTTGGCTGCTTGCTTTGCGATCTTCTTTCAACTGAACTGGCTACTTCAACTGCTGGAACTGCTTGAGGTGTGACTCGATGTCGCGCTGCTGGCATTTGACGTATCACTGCCCTGGGCCTTGAGCTCGCGGTTGGCGAACTTCAGGGACTTGAACTTCTTCAACTTCGGAGCGCCTCCATCACCAACGGTTGTCGATACTGCTTTCAACGCTGTCTTCTTCACTTGTTTTATTAAACATGAAAATCTTATTATCCGCTGTCGCTTGCTTGGCACGCTCGCGACGATGGAAGGCCTCGTTCATCGTCGCAGAAGATTGCGTGGTACTCATCACGTGGGCGGGCAGGCGAGTGTCTTGTTTTTTGTTTACCACCTTGTCCTCCATCTGTAGTGCAGCGCTGCATACCTGAGCCTCCATGTTCATCCTCCCAAAGGCGGTTCCACTTGCGCGCCATTGCACGAGCAAAACCACGAGGTCATAGGGTGCAATCTGCAAAGGACGCCTCGGGTGGGATTGGGACATGGGCGCTGTATTTACGATCCAAACTATGGATCTTTTTACATACCATTTTCGCACTCCACTTTGGAACATGTTGGTAATGTACGGGTCCGTCCACAAGACACTGGCCAACCTTCCCAACGTGGCATATCCAAGGAATGACTGCTCGACGGCGCGGGTCTTTATCGACTGGCATCCAGCAGAACTCAGAAAACTGTGTTGTGAAAGCGTCGCGTAGCAAAAGTAAGGGCGAGCAGGGTGGCGCGAAAAGGGCTGTTGGAAACACGCAGTTGCAATCGTATGGATGTCCGCGGTCCTCGGCGACTTCGGGTGGACGAACTTGGCCAGGCTGGTGTATTTACCACAGTGTCGATATCTTGCAACTTAAGACCGCCTTCCAGCTTCGAGATGTTGTGCCAGCGTCGGCGTATAACAGGGTAGAGGACCGTCCCAGTACTGGTATGTTTACGCCACTCTGTGAGACAACGGTTCCTCAGCATTAGCACGTAGCTTCTTGTATAATCAACTGAGAGATGTCGCATTGCATCATGTGGCAGGGATATAGCATCTGAATCCATCGGTAGTTCGGCTCTGTGAAACTGCATTTGATGTCAAAGAAACAGCTGTAGATACGGTCCAGGAGATTTTCGCGCGGCTTCACGTGGGTAGCGTCGTAGGAGATCTTGGCATCGCACGTGTATGGGCCCAGGCAGGCATGCAATATGTAAACGAACTATACGTGCTTGTGGGAGAACTTACCACTGCAAAAGCTATTCCAGCTTCCGTCTTGCACGTGCTTTCGCTTCATCGGGTAGGTGTTTGCAGGCGTCCCAAGCCTCGACTGTGCAAGAGCCCACATTTCTATGGCGCCATCGTCATTTGAAATCCAATCGCGCTGAGAGTTCACACGGATAAGTAGCCAAACGCAATGCGTATCTTTCGAACTACATGCATTTCTCAACCGTGTCTTGATTGGAACCAAATCATCTCTTCTTACAACATGCGAGCAGGATCTTGCGGTTAGCAGTGGGTGTATGGAGTCGTCGTCGCATTTATTCTTTTTTTGTAGACTTGCTTGATGAGGTCGAACGCGAGCTCGTTGTTGACGGTCTGTAACTTTCGCTGGTGTCGAAAAGGTCTGGGCCTTCGCGTCTGTCCAGCTTGAGCGGGTCCCAACACAGTCCACGTTGGTAGTCGTAGAATATTGATTGCCAATGATTCATACGCTGTAGTAGTCTGGCCATCGCTCCAGGCAGTAAGACATAGCGTAGAACTCAATATCGAACAGTTGTGCCGAATTCGGTATCGGTGTCGACCTCTTTGGTTGCCACTCTCTTGGGACGTCGACCGAACATGTTCTCAAAATCGCAGGGTTGGTCCAAACGCTCGTTGTCGGTTAATTGCGCGAGAAGTTGTAGTGCGTCCAATGTACTATACCGACGGCTCTGAAGCAAATGTATCATATAGAACTCCACTGTTAGGTTGAACAACTGTCGCATGGCAGCGCTGCCGAAACAAGATACTGAGGAATACGCACCATCGCTTTGAATCAACTTGATCTTGTAACACGGCAGCTTGTAGTAAGGGTTTGCTTGCTCTAAGTAGAGCCCGAATCCAGTTCTTCTTGTGGTGAAGTCGTCGAGCATAGCTAAGTCCATGGAGAGCGGAAGCGTGGGCATACATTGTCCAGCATGTCGGTGACGGTGTTCCTGCCATGCTTCAGTAGGCAAGCAGGCATAGTACAGAAACCTATCTTCGCAGAAGCTGTACGTGTTCATCTCGTTGAAGCATACCGGCTGTGTCGTACACCGCGACCGCAATACCATTACATCTTGCATGTTCGTGCTGAGGAAATTCCATGAAGTCGGCAACGCACTCCAGCAAGTGTGACTCTGAATGTGCATACAATGTGCGTCAATGCTGCAGTAGCAGTCCATGGGGAAGTGCAGCTTGGATATGCAATGTAGTACTATCCATAACAAGAGGGTGGATGGAAGGAAACACCAGGCACACATGTAGGGCCGTCGCCCTATCGTGATATTTCTTGTAGCCGTCGAAGAGCTCGGCGGAGTTTAGGCGCTGAAACCCACAATCGGGAACATCAGCGTGCTGCTTGGCCGAGCGAGGATGTTATATCACCGCAGCGAGGGCGATGATCTCAGGCGGTTGCTCTCTGGAAGCAACACTGGCAGGTTACGCGACCCCTGCTCGCCTGGGCAAAGTATGGCTGCAACTCGCCGTCGTCGTCGTCACCGAACATCACATGAGTTCGACGAGCTTTACAGCACAAAATATTTCAATGGCCCAGGGCAACTCTACAGGCCTAGTGTGGGGGTCCTTCCGAGGGCTACCATGAGGGTAAGAGTGGATAGAGTACAAGCTATGAAACTCAACACTGTATTCTGCAACGCACTGTGTATTGTAGGAAACAGATGCAAGGAGAGGGGGAGAGAGAGGACAACCAGGAGACGAAGGATGGTACATATCAGACATCATTTCTGATGCTGCTGCTGCTGCTCCTACTGCTGCTCCTTGCGCGCCCTCTGCGGGGGGCCCTTGGGGCCCTCTCAGGCCGTCTTGGACTCTGTGGGGGTCCTCTTGGGCTCTGCGGGAGTCTCCTGGCGGCCACCTTGTGGTGCACACGGTGGGACGCAAGCAGCTTGATAAAGCGGCTTTCGCTATTCTCGGCCGCCGCAGGGTTCTTCTGGCCGGCAAAGATGACGCCACCTCAGACTTCTTCATCGGGGGGCACCAGTTGCTGTCTGAGCGAATCCGGGAATCCCACCGCCGAGCGTGTCCGTCCGAGGATGGCGCCTCCCAGGTCCAGACCATGGTGCGCCCCAGGATGGTGTGTCCCAGATTTGAGGATCGTGCGCCCGGGTCCAGGCCATGGTGCGTCCCGGGGGCGTCCCAGGTGGCTCCTGTGCGTGCCCGCTCGAGTACGGTGTGTCAGGGGTCCGAGGACGTGCCAGAGAACGTACCATGTGATATGTCCGAGGACGTGTCAGCTCCAGGCTGGATGAGTAACTATGGTGGGCGTTCGGCCCTCGAAGGGTTTGAACAGGAACCGCTCTCTTTCCAACTCCGTTTCGTTCATCCGTTCTCTCCTTCTTCTCCACTCCTCCTCTTCCTGCTCCCCCTCCTCCTCCTCCTCCTCCTCTTCCTCCTTCTCCTCTTCCTCGTCTTCTTCCCCCTGGGTGGTGATTGCGAAGGCCTTACGGCCGGTGCCGCCGACCCTGACGGGGGACGACGACGAAGACAGCGACGATGA